CATCGTCAGAATAGTCCATCTGCCATCAGTGGTTCAACCGTAACGTTATGAAGCGACGAGAATACTTTGTACGCTAAGAAAACAAAAATAACAACTTTATTCAACAACTCGTCTCCTCTGTGTCTCTCCGTATCACCGTAGCGCCATTTTGGAGAATATCTGCTGAACGCAAACTGCGTACGCTCTTCTGTGTCAGCCGCGACACAAGGATTAATCACTTACCCCCATGTCGTTCCAAACCCGTAAAAGCTTTGCTCGTCTTCAGAACACAATTTAAGATATTTTAGATGAAAACCGAGAGGCTTGTGACTGTCCCATTGACTGCCAAGTAAATTACTGTCAAGGTCCAGAAAAGTATGAAAGACATCGTCAGAATAGTCCATCTGCCATCAGTGGTTCAACCGTAACGTTATGAAGCGACGAGAATACTTTGTACGCTAAGAAAACAAAAATAACAACTTTATTCAACAACTCGTCTCCTCTGTGTCTCTCCGTATCACCGTAGCGCCATTTTGGAGAATATCTGCTGAACGCAAGCAGCATACGCTCTTCTGTGTCAGCCGTGCTGCACGGATGCGCTGTTTTTGTTCAAATCAAAGCATAAATACACGTAGAAAACATAACCTTGTGTCCATATCCCAGGGACATTTTTACCCAGAATTGGTCCTGTTATTAAAAAGTTCTCACTTTGGTTGACGTTTTCATTCAAAGTTTTAGTTGAAGAGGCAACATCTGTTACTGTCGGCATCCTCTCTGACTGGGGTGGGGGACGGAGCGGGCGCAATAATCAATCATATTTCCACATCACTTTACTAGGTGTTTTTAGGAAATATTTGCATTTATTCACATGCGATTGGATTAGCCACTCATGTGCTGAACTGTCATGATTTTGGCTAATGCATTACACTACTGAAAGATGCGCATCAGAGGGAATTTAGAAGTGGGTATACGCAATACCGTCTGATAAAGAAGTGTATATATACATTGTATACCTGCGTATACCCTGCATTACATCACTGCTTGCTGCTGACGGAGAAGGCTACACTAAACATGTGGCAAGCAGTGCAAGTGACAAACAGGAGAAAAAGCCATTACTCACCGTGATTGTTGAATGATTCTTAACGATTTAACTGTTATTTGAACTCGTGAAAAACGGAGCAAGAGAGAGAAAAGAAAAAGGAGGTGCTAATGACAAGCTGTCCAGTGGACAAAAACACTGACTGGATCTAAACCTTCAGTTGACACGAGGCTCATATCTATGTCTCTGTAGGTTAAGTGACCACACATGAAAATCTGCAACACATGATGGCAGACACACGTTTGTACAGCGTAGAGCGGCTCTTTCGCACTGTATGACGTGACCGATAGCTAGTTGTCCAGTCCTGTTCCATTTACACGGCACAGGTTTTCCAAGAATGCAGTTGTGAGTCCTGAAAATTTGTGGGTGTGAGTTTGGTAATAGAATGCTGTTGCCATTTTATTTTGCACTGGCAATAATAGTTAATAGTTTGTAGCAAATTAGCTCAAAAGGGAAATGTATTGGATTGGTCCAAATGCTACAAGTTATAGGGTTAATGCGGGGAGTTAAAAGCCTGGAAGAGAATACTAGTGTTTGTTGCACCTGTAACTCAATTGTTCTGTGCTCAGAAATTGAGCCTCTTTTTGTCTGTCGTTCTTCAGACTAAATTAATATTTATATTGAAATATGATAATATTAAGAACTTCTTGCGTTGGGGGGGGGGACACAAGTGCTTTTTTTTTTTTTTCAAAACTATGACCCCTAGCATATACTGCAAAAAAGATTGCTGAAGTCAACAGATTTTACTTATAGACCTACCTATTTTTGTCAAACAACAGCGATGCTGCCTTCTTTCTGAAGTCATTAATTACCCCCTTGTAATTTGGCTCTGAATCTCAGGCGACTGATCTCACTGCCCAGCAGATCTTTCTTATATAGTGTTAGTCAAATTATTTTCTATATAGTGAACAAGTGATAGTTAGGCGTTGGAGACATTCTTCATCTATAAAATGTTTGATTGGACAATTTCTCCTTTGTGAGTCATTGTTAAATAGAGAAAATTCAAACCCATTCAAACATGATTACAAGCAGTTGTTTAATTAGGGATGGAACTAAACTCTGTTAGACAGTGGTCCTCCAGGGACAATGTTGCCCATCCCTGCTGTAGACTAAAAGCAACAAAACTTTTAAACTTTTATTGTAAAAAGGTTTTTTAAAGGTTTTATTCTTTTATTACGCTGTTTAGGTTTACATAGTGATGGGTGTAGTGATCGTCAGGTTAATCAACTGACTTTATGCTATTAGGTTCTTAAAGACATACTCCACCAAAAAATGCATATTCTCTACTCACCTCATCACCAGATGTATAGCACTTTCATCAGACATGAAGTGTATATAACACTAATGTAATTCTCATTTGTCCAGTCGCGTTACTGGGGTGACGATAGCAACAAGAATGAAGTGCAGGGCACCGTCCTTGACCGCGCTGGCAGAGTGCTTCACCGCTTTGGGGGATCATGGCATGAAGGCATCTTCTGTGATACACTTCCCAACCCACAATGCATTTGGAAGCCCAGTAAGTGACCATGCACAAAGTAGTCTTAACCAATTTACATTTAGTTGGATGTTGAATTAGATTGTCTATATCGTAATTCACAGATCCTCAACCAGATGATTACTTTGACTACTATGGCTTCTCCCAGTATGCCAGAGAGCTCAATGACCTGACGCCTGACATAAAGGATAAGTTGCCCCCGACAGACACTCGTTTCCGTCCAGACCAAAGGTATGTGGCCAGTAATTGGAGATAAAACAAGATCTGTTTGACCATTTGCACTGTAATCTGTACTTCCAAACAGTGTTGGGAGGTTACTTTGGAAATGTAATAGGTTACAGATTACAAATGACCCTATTTAATATGTAATAAGTAGTGTAACTATTTCAATTACTTAATGTAACTGATTACATTTGATTACTTTTTGATTACTTTTCTAGTGAATGTTTTCAACTGTTTATCATTTTCAAGCATTTAAAGCAGGCAGGGTTAACCTTACAGTAGTACTCAACACTGATTACTGTCAGACAAAATTCTTCATCACTTACATTAAAATTATAAGCACAGCCACCACAAAATCAGACTTTAGCACCTCTTTTTACTTTGAGATCGCTCTGAGGTTAAATACTGATTTAAAATAACAAGATATAGTTTGAAAGCTATCATACTGTTTTTGAAGTCAAATCTTTGACAGGCAGCACTGGCATCTAACAATAACAGTTTTTTTCCAAATCAATCTTAAAAAATAAAGCATATACATAAAACCAAATGGGAAATCAAGCAGTTATTAAATAAGCATGTGTCCTAAACTCCTGAAACATTGGTGTCTCATATTTTAGAGTAGTCAATGCAATTTGGGAAAAAAATCTAATCTGTACGTGTGTGTGAAAATATGAAAATGTTAATGATTACAAAGGAGGTTACATCTGAATATGTAACTGTAATTTAATTACACATCTTTTCTCAGTAACTGTAACAGATTAGTTACATTTATTTTGTAATTAAATTACGTAATTCCGTTACATGTAACTAGTTGCTCCCCAACACTGCTTCCAAAACCTTGGTCAGAACAAAACCCATATAAATTGATATTTTTTTTTAAATAAACGAGTTAAATTGATTTCATCACTGATCCAAACTATAAGTTTGCAAGATGTACTGAACACACATGACATCTAACTACTCCTAACGTTAATGCTAAAGCATCATTGCCAGTAAATAATTTGTAAAGTTTGTGTCAGCATCACTTTTCTCTAACCTGCAATACACATTAGTACAACTGTTAATCAACTGACTTTACGCTATTAGATGCTTAGAGATACTCAACCCAGAAATGCAAATTCTCTCATCTCATCACCAGATGTATATGACTTTCATCATATGTGAAGTGTGATGTTAAGCGTGCTGTGAAATGTTTTGTAACCGTAATAATCCTCAGTTCTTACACACGTTCACGTGAACTTCTTACACATACACTTGCATTATATGGATTTACTGAGATTTTCTAAACATTTTTCTTCAGTCATTGTTTTCATCTAAAGAAAGTCAGTCTATACATCTGGGACAGCATGTGGGTGAGAAAATTAGAGAATTTTCATTTTTGGGTGGAGTAAAGTTTTACTCATTGTACTTGGTATCTCATTTCAGTTATCAAAGTTTTGTATTTTGCCATTTTGGTCAAATTTACTTGCATGTCATTGTTTTAGTGCCTAAAACATAGCTAACTCAAATACATTTTCCAGCCATCTCAATATCTTCACTTGCTATTTATTTTCCTTTCAGGCTTCTTGAAAAGGGCAAAGTGGAAGAAGCTGATAAACGCAAGGATGAAATAGAGGAGAAACAACGTGAAAGACGTAAGGCAATGACCAAGAGGGGTGAAGAGCATGTTCCACGTTTCTTTGTGTGAGTTCCAGTATTTATTCCATATTTCTGCTTCTAAAATCTGCTGGCAATCTGAAGCAATTAATTCAGATTAATTCAATTAAATTATAATCCTCAGATTAGTTAAATATGCCAGAGGACCACATATGTTAAAGGGGTCATATGATGCTGCTAAAAAGAACATTATTTTGTGTATTTGGTGTAATGAAATGTGTTTATATAATCTGCAGATAACGTATTTAAAAAAGCCATGAATGTCTGCATATTCAGAGTGAATCAACAGATGATTCATGAACTACAGTAATACCATTAAAGTGGAATTGTAAATACCTTATTTAAAACAATGTACAAATATTTGTCTTCCATCAGAAAAACCTTAGATCACGCTGGAAGAGAGGCGTGGGTGACAAATGGAATTTACTGGAAGATTCGAGAAAATCCAGGATTTGCCAGCACTGAAAATCTGGATTTGTGGTGTTGATGGAATTGAAGTCCTGCGATTTATGATATCCCAGTATTCTGTTCGCGAAACTCGTGAATTTTGGCATGTCAGTATGGTTAGTGTATGTATATAATTATATTTTATATAACGGTTGTGAATTTTAGTATAAACCATAGACTTAAAAGGCAATGTAGGAATGGAGTTTCGGTGCTTTTTAATCTAAATTGTGATATTCCTAAAGCCATACCACCCTAATTTTTAGTGATTAACACACACACACCTATTTTTAAATCATCAAAAATACTCTCCATATTATGTGTAATGAATAGATGTCTTAAAAATATTTTTCCCCCTTTTTTTTTAAAGTATTTTTTTATTGAAAGATAAGGTCTAATGTCAGGGACTTTGATATACATAATAGAATTTAGTACAGAATGTTTCCCATTTTAATAGACCTGTATGTGTAAATTATGCATGTCTATACTGTTTGCTGTAAGTTATGCTTTTTACCAGATGGATTTAATTATTTCTGCTAGAAAATCTTGCATGATCTCGCTGTATAAAATACTTTGTGCAAATTAATATAATTAAAATGACATGTTTCTTTTTGGATTTTCAACCAAATCTACTGAAAATATTTTGGTGAAAAGTGTAGTTGGGTTATGTGCAATTTCTTGTATGAATGCATTTCCAATCAGATGAGCCTTGAATAAATATTAAATTTGAACACAAGTTTGCACTTGTTTTTGCCATCTGAGGGGGAGGAGGAAGGGGAGCTCTGAAAGCATATACTGTAAGGAGGAGTGAATACAGTGGAGAGAGAGGACTAGGCCTTGGGACACTTTGTTTGTGCAGCAGTCAGCAGTGAAGCAGCTGCCACTTGTTTCAGGTTATTTTGTGAATTAAAAGGTTTTTTTTGTTTGTTTTTTTTGCCATTTCCCACCTCCTCCTTCCCCAATTCTTTGAACTTCATCAGCTATTGTAAGAAAAAAAAAAAAAGAAGTTGAGGATTTTGATTAAAAAGTTAAATTGCAGCATAGCAGTGACTAATTATGTAGTACCTTGTGTTCAACTGAGCAGCACGGGTGAACGGGACACCCCTGCAGTGCGTGGGAGCCCCAATCACAGAACATTCTAAAAGTCATTCACAAATCACACACAGTGTGGTTTTGCTTATTAAAAAAATGCAAGATGTGGCAGTAACATTAAAAAAAAAAAAAAAAAAATTTTTTGATCTTTGACTTGAGTATGTTTTTAGAATGCTCTGTCATACTCGAGACCCTGTAAAAAATGTGTGGAAAAGCATGTGAAATACTCTTAACATGGTTTAACATTCTAAAGCAACCTAGATTTTTTTTCTTCTCTCATTTCACTTATCATAAACATGATAAGTGAAATGAGAGAAGAAAAAAAATCTAGGTTGCTTTAGAATGTTAAACCATGTTAAGAGTATTTCACATGATTTATTAAACACTATACTAAAACAACGGCACCGTAATCGAAGTTGGATATTTTTTATGCTTAACGTGGCTTTAAGACCGTGATAACTTAAAATTTTGCACATTGAGTTCATATTCTGGGCTCTTGCAGAGTTTGATTTTTGATAAGCATTTACCTCCCAATGTGAAAAGTGGTGATGTGCAATTGTTGTTAAAGAGCTATTTCTTCCTGTTCTTTTCTACAATTAGTGATGCTTATGTAGGCCAGTGTTTGAACCGAGACGTGTTCTGGCCATTAGCTTACATTCATTTTATTGAGCTTGCTGTTAAACATCTGTTGTAGGCCCCAGGTCTACATATTTTATTTGTGTATTATTATTGTTGAAGGATCCTCCTGCTATTGCTGAAATAATCAAATCGAATGACTAAAATCACTATGCATATTATATGGTCTATACAATGTTATTCTGTAATAAAATAGACTCATGTATGTCAATAGCTACTGAACTTTATTTGGCTCCACTCTCCAGTCAAACCTTAACTGTAGTGCCCTCACCAGGTAAGGCATCACACATCACACCTTTTTTGCACTAATAGTTACATGGTAATAAAGCATAACAGTCATTTAACAACATAAATGGGGACAGTCATTACTAACATTCAACAATAAAAGTTCCCCATATTAAAACTGTTTCTTACATGCAAATGCAGAAAGAAGATTCTTAATGTGTTAACTTCATGTGCATAAAACTATGTTCGAACTCCTATGCACAGCAAGATTAGTTTAGAACTTCTATGAACCGTAATACTGTGTTAGAACTTCTAAGCAAATGAGGAGAATGCAAGCCCATATATACTGCAAAGCATCTTTCTCAGTCACAGACAGTTTGTGTGCTGCTCTCTATACATGTCCCGTGTATACTTCAACAGTAAGCTAAACTCCCAATCATCACAGACACAGAATGTCCATAGTTTAATAAGGGTAGAGTTAAAATATGAAATACGAAGAAAACAGAAAACAATATGAATTGACATTCACAATGTGTACACAAAAGAAATACTTCTTACAAATATTTTGCAGTCTAGATCTAACTGTTCTGCTTATGAAACAACACGAAAATAAATTGTCAGGCAAATGAAAGTGACAAGTATATCAATGGCTCTCATATGGTCCAATGAGAAAATACATCTAAGATGCACTCAAATAATACAAATTACAAATACTTCAAAATAATCAAATACAACTGAAGGTAATATGAACAATACCATTAAAACATACAGATTAAACTACAAGGATTAATTGCAGAAGGATACTGATTCACTGCTTCCTGACTCAGAGCAGCAGCATGGTTAGGGCTAGAAGGTATATACTGTACAGCTGCGACTACTGAGTATATGCACATCAATATAGAGTAATTTTTGTCACACTCTACAATAATAATTCTGTTTTTGCATTATTGTAGGGGGTAGGTTTAGGGTTGGGGTAGGTGTAGACGTTAAATAAAACACAATCTAATAGCTGTATCCCTTCTAGCCACAACCCAGCATCTTGGATGTAAATGAAATCAAGAAATAAAGCAAAACCGGGAGTGTGTTAATTCTTTGAAAGGGGTCTCGGAATATCTCTTTCAGGAGTTAAAGGATGTAAAGGCAGACATCTCTAAAATTAAAACAATGGGTCGAAGATCATCAGAAACGGAAAAGTAACACAGACGGTGGAATTTGAGGCGGTATGGACTGGCTGAACAGGAAGTCGAGGATGTTAAAGCTCGGGTGGTTTAAATTTGCAGCTCTGTCATCCCAGAAAATGAGGAGGCCCGTCAACAGCACATCGATGTCAGCCACAGGCTTGGTAGGAAGAATGCGGAGAAGACTCGACCAGTTATCATCAGGTTCGTTGCCAAGAGATCTCATTTGGAAGAACACTAGAGGATCGGAATATTTGAAATCTAGGAAGCTGCGGTTTGGAGAGGACCTGACAACAAAAGACAAGGAGGCTCAGAACAAATTGTGGCCCCAAATCGATGCTGCAAGTAAAGAAGAAAAAAATAAGAGCTTTTTATGTGGGAGCTAAAGCAATAATTTATGGAAAAGAGGCTCGAGTGTAGTGAGCAACAGCTGTTTGCTTAAGCATTTTATCTCTATTTGAGATATTCACTCACATTAGTCTCTAAATTACATTTATTATGTCTCACGTCTCTTTGATAGATTCATTTAAATACACACTGGGTTAGTGATTTTTTAAGTTATTTGTTCATTTAGTTACGTTGTTCTTGTTCAATGTCGTTATGTTTATATTCATATAATGTGAGCGGTATTCGTGATATGTTGAAAAGAAAAGCTTTTCAGATGCAAGGCGGACTTTTGCTTTTTGCAAGAGACTCGTGCTTTGGAATCTGACTACAAATTTTGGAGAAATCAATGGGGAGACAATCCAACAAAGGTGTTGCGATATTAAGAGGAATGTTTAAGGGGAAAATACTTAAATGTACACTCATCTGGGAGATGGGTAATTTTGGTAGTTGAGACAGAAGATAATTTTGTTAATTTATGAAACATTTATGGTTATATTAACAAAACTGAGAAACAAAATTTGTTGCAGAGTTTTGAAGAGAAGGTTTCAGAAATGTTAACATTTTCTAATGCTAATTTAGTTTTGGGTGGAGACTGGAACACTGTCAGTAATGCTTTATTGGACTGTAAGAAAATTTAGTTTTTCTTTCATTAATGATGTATGTTTGCATCTTAATTGTCTTGATGAATGGAGGAATAGGAATCCTGATAAAGTTGAGTTTACATGGAGTAATGAGGATGGTTCTAAACAATCCAGAATTGATTTTTGGTTACTGTCTAAAGAATTTGCACATAAAGTTAAGAAAATGTATATAATTCCTTCCATTCTTACTGATCACAAAATGATTCATGTTGTGATTAGTTTTGATAGTTTGGCTGGAAAAAGATCAGGATTTAATTATTGGAAGTTAAATAATTCTCTCCTTGGAAATGAACAATAATTTAAAAAAAGGTTAAATATATATTATAAAGGATTCTTATAGAAAGGTAAGTGCTTCTAACGTGTATGGGAAACACTGGGAATTTATGAAGTATTTAGTAAGGAAGTTTGGTCCCACTTTATTTTAAGTGGCCTTAACTACTAGGTACAATGCACTTATTGTGTGCATACATGTTTTTACATTGTACTTATAATTTTAAAATGCCTGCATGTAATTACATCTGCAATTAATTTCTGTACCTACATTTATAATTACACTGTTGACCCATCCCTTACACCTTAACCCACCCTTAAACCTACCCAAACCACCAAACCTGTCCCTAACCTTACCCATATCCCACCTCAATAGCAGCAAAAGTGTTTTGCAATACAATATGAACACAATAAGTACATTGTACTTATTTTATGATGTAGGTACATAGTAGTTAAGGCCACTTAATATAAAGTGGGACCGGAAGTTTGCCATCAGGTTTGAAAAAGAAATGGCCAAAGCCAGAAGGGTTGAGGATTCCAAAATTAAACAACTTTTATATATGGAAAACATCATTTGTTTTAGATAGATAAAGACATGTTAGTTAAATAACAATTAGAATTTGATCAAATATTTGAGAATAAAGCTAAAGGAGATTTTGTGAGGTCACGACATAAATGGTTGGAAGGAGAAATTAACTCAAAATATTTTTTTAATTCAGCACCCTTGCTAAATATGAGCAAAGGCAGCTGTGAAAATTAATCTGCACTGTTTTATTCTTTTGATCTTTCATTAAAAAAATTCACAAAATTCTAACCTTTCATTCAAGTAAAACAATTGAAAGTGGGATCTCCTTGTGAAATAAATGCTTTCTCTAGTTTATGTTGGCCACAATTATTGGCACCCACCCACATAGCAATTTTTCTCTGGCCCAGCTCCGGCCCACACAACCAGCTTTTGCTTGGCCCACATACCGCAAGGAAAACATTGGGATTTTACTCAAAAATATTTTAAATGGATTTTAAATGTGGGTCAAGATCGGGCATACTTATGTGGCCCACATATCTATATTTGACATCTGGGCCAAATACTACATTTGACATCTGGCCCATGTCTTGTGTGCCGTCTTAAACCCGGTACCATCTCTGCCCAACCCGGGCCATGTTTGGCCCACATGCTGTATGCCAGTGCCGGATGAATGCCAGCTGTGCCAGATGCATGCCAAATCTGGGCCAAATTTGTTTGCTGACTGGGCAATTATTGCAACGTCCTTTTCCCAAGATAACAGC